AAATTATTCAACTTACTTCACCTTTTTTTTTGGGGGGGCGCGGTCAGCCGTGGGGCTTGAACTCTGGGCCAAGGAGCTATCCCTGAGGTATTCAGCTCAAGGCCAGTGCTCTACCACTTTAGCCACAGCACCACTTCCAGTTTTCTGGTGGTTAGTTGGAGATAAGAGTTTCACGGAGGGCTGGGAAGGTGGCTCAGTGGTAGAGTGCTTGCCTTGCATGCTTGAGGCCCTGGGTTCGATTCCTCAGCACCACATAAGCAAAAAGAAAAAAGCCGGAAGTAGTGCTGTGGCTCAAGTGGTAGAGCGCTAGCCTTGAGCTGAAGAGCTGAGGGATAGCACCCAGGCCCAGAGTTCAGGCCGCACCAACAGAACCCCCCCCCACCACCAAAAAAAAAAAAAGAGTCTCACAGACTTTCCTGCCTGGGTTGGCTTTGAACTGTGATCCTCAGATCTCAGCCTTCTGAGTAGGTAGTATTACAGGTGTGAGCCACTAGTTCCCGGTTTACCTCACCTTTGATTTTCTCATGTGTAAAATGCATTCCCACTTTTCTCTGGAGGTTAGAGAGGGCAATGACTGTAAAATATTAATATAAAATAGGCACACAAAAACCTTATTTTCTCTTTTCTCCTATCCCTTTGATAGCCACATGGCAACTTATAAGTATAGTGCAACATCTCTCATCTTCCCATCTTGAGGTCTTTTAATAGCCACAATGGGAGATCTATTTCTAGAACTCATTCTTGTACCCATATCTTACAATCAATTCTCCACTCAGTGGCCTAAGTAAGTTTTTCAAAATGCATATAGATTACTCTTCTAGTGTTACTTATCTATTCCTTAATGCTCAACACTATAGTTAGAATCAAATTTAAATTCCTCAGTATACCCTGTGTTCTTGATCCTTGTCTATTTATCCACCTAATTCATCAATTCTCTCCCCCTCACTCAATAACCTAATCTCCCTGGCCTTTTCGTGTGTGTGTGTGTGTGTGTGTGTGTGTGTGTGTAGCTACATTACTGACCTCTCCTTCTCTCCCTCCCTTTTTGTGCTAGTGCTGGGGGGCTTGAACTCAGGGCCTTGTTCTGTGGCTTGGCTTTTTTCTCATAGCTGTCTTTCTACTACTTGAGCCACACATCCACTTTCAGCTTTTTTGCTGGTTATTTGGTGGTACTGTTGTATGAATTCTTGTCATTGGACTGCTGGGGCATAAACTCTAGCCTTTTCCTATTTCTGTCTGTCAAATTTTAATCAGTCCTGTTTGTCTTTAAATGGTAATTACAAAACTAGTCTTGGCTCAAAGGATCATTGTTTTCTTGATATTTACAGGGTTTCATTAATTTTTTTTCTTTTTTGTGTTGATCCTGAACTTTGGGTTTGAAGTCAAGGTCTGGGCACTGATCCTGAGCTTTCTTGCTCAAGGCTAGCACTCTCCCACTTGAGTCACACTTCCACTTTCGGCAGGGTTTCACTTTTTTAATATTGCTACTGAGGCTTGAATTCAGGTCCTTGCGATTTTGCTCAACTTTTCCCATTAACAGCTGGCACTCTACTACTTGAGTCATACTTCTACTTCCTACTTTTTGCTAGTTAATTGGAGTTAGAATCTTAGACTCTAATAGACTCTTAGACTCTTCCTCCTCCTCCTTCCTCCTTTTGTCCTCATTTTTGATAGGCTGACATCAAACTTGTGACCCTCCCGTCTTTGACTCCCAAGTGTTGGGACTGCAGTTGTGTGTTACTACACCCAGTTTATGACATTTTATTCAAAGAACACTCTAGGTTTACTCTATTTTTTAATAAGTTTTGTCTGGTCTCCCTGCTACAATATAAGCATGAGGTCTACATCTTTGTCACTCTTTTTTAAATTTATCCCAGATGGCTGATATTTTATAGGAATTCAGAAAATAAATACTGAATGAATAAATTTTACTGAAGCCAAAGTGTTGGTTCAAGATGAATGAGTTATAGAACAAATACAATAGAAGTACCAGGTACAACTTCAAGGGGTTATTGAAGGTTTGGAGGATACATTGGTCATATATTTGACTCTGCAGATTACACACACACACACACACACAATTGCGCAGGTACTAGGACTTGAACTCAGAGACATCTGCTGTTGCTTAGCTTTATTGGTCAAGGCTGGCCTTCTACCATTTAAGCCTCTACTTTATGCTGGTCAATTGGAGAAAGGTCTCATGGATTTTTCTGCCCAGGCTGGCTTTGAGCCAGACAGGCATGAGCCATTGGTGTCTAACAGATTCTTTTTTTGGGGGGGGTCTGGTCGTGGGGCCTGGGCGCTGTCCCTCAGCTCTTCAGCTCAAGGTTAGCCCTCTACTTGAGTAATAGCACCACTTCTGGTTTTTTTTTCCTGCTTATGTGGTGCTGAGGAATTGAACCCAGGGCCTCATGCATACAAGTGCTCTACCATTGAGCCAACTTCCCAGCCCCTCCAGCAGATTCTTAATATTATTATTTTCCAGTTAGATGTGGTTTGAGGAATGATGGAACATATTAAAGAAAAGTATATCCTTTTTATCTTAGTTCTGCAAATCAATTCAGTGGTGTGTGTGTGTGTGTGTGTGTGTGTGTGTGTGTGTGTGTGTATACAAATTATATAAAGGGGTTTCATTTCAACAGGTCAGTTTGAGTATAATGTAGTATACCTTCTTCCATCATTCTCCCTTACCTGTTCTAACCCACTCTGTGTGTGTGTGTGTGTGTGTGCGCGCGTGCATGTGTGTGTGCGTGTGTGTGCATGTGTGTGTGCGTGTGTGTGTGTGCGTGTGTGCGTGTGCGTGTGTGTGTGTTTGCCAGTTGTGGGGCTTGAGCTCAGGGCCTAAGCACTGCTCCTGAGCTTCTTTTGCTCAAGGTTAGCTAGCACTGTTCCACTTGAGCCACAGTACCACTTGCTTTTTCTGTCTATGTGGTACTGGGGAACCAAACCAGAGCTTCATGCATGTTAGGCAAGTTCTGTACCACTAAGTCACATTCCCAGCCCCGTTTTGTGTTTTTAATGACCCAGTTCCTTCACTTTTTCTTAAAATCTGCCCTTTGTCTTAAGGCTGAATTCCTAAACCCCAATTAAGATTTCTTTCCTCCTCTCCTGTTTTTTTCCTTTTACTTCTATTACTTTTGTTTATTCAGAAACTAGAGAATAGCAAGAGGTAGAGGAAGAGTAGGAGGAGGAAGGGAAGGAGAAAAGTGGTGGCAATAGATACAGGAAGAATTATTAAAGACTTTGTACCTTCTTTTATTGCCTCTTAGCTTCTAGATGAAGGGTACCACCGCCCACAGACAGGATCAGGAGAGTCGTTCTTTGAACCTATGGGTAGGTTAGAATTGGAGATGCAGGAATATTATTATGTGGGTTGTCTGAGTCCAGGTTTTCATGTGTTCACTTAGATGTAGGACTGCTCTGGAAAATGAAAGTCAGGGACCTGAATTGTTAGTCCCAATACAGGACTATTTCTTTATGGTGAGGGTTCCATCCTTTCATGGGGGTCTACCCATCTTTTCTCATCTTTTGGGTTTCTGCTTTGATAGATGGTTATTACAAATGATGGTTATTTTTCCTTCTGAGTCTACCATGGACCCTTAATTTTCACTTAAACTTTTTATCTATCTATCTATCTATCTATCTATCTACTTACCGACCTACCTACCCACCTATCTCTAGCTACATTTGCATAGTACTTTGGAACCAGAGCTGGAATCATTAGTATGTATGGACTAGAAAAGTATGTAAGTTGAGGTGCAGTTTATGATGTCTCTAAAATTATCTTCTGTACTTTCTCACTAAAAGATTGGGGAGGTTCCCCCTGTTATCTCAGTATCTCCAGAGGAAGAAATCAGGAGGGCTGCAGTTCTAGGCAAGGGTAGGCAAACTTACTGAGACTTCCATCTCAACAAATTCATGGAAACACTACATCTTGGCTGATTTTCAGCCTTGCCAAGTTTATGTCCATTTACCTAAGAGAACACAAGTATCTGGTGAGCTATTGCACAATAATCACCAAGTTAATACTACTAAATTCTTCACATTTAGTTATTTTAATTATAGTTTTTATCCACTATTAAATGGTGATCTCAGGGGCTGGGAATGTGGCTTAGTCGTAGAGTACTTGCCTAGCATTTATGAAGCTCTGGGTTTGATTCCTCAGTACCACATAAACAGAAAATGCTGGAAGTGGTGCTGTGGTTCAAGTGGTAGAGTGCTAGCCTTGAGCAGAAGCAGCTTAGGGACAGGCCCTGAGTGCAAGCCCCAGGATAGGGGGAAAAAATGGTGATCTCAGGGTTTGAACTCTGACATTTTAGATGCCAGTGCCCAGTTCTTAAACCACCTGGCTGCTACACAGTCACACAGGCACGAAAATCTTAAAAAAAAAAATCTCTGATACAGGACAATACGTTGGAAACGAACTTTACAATTTTGGGGGGGGGGTAGAGGGGGAGGTAGGGGAAGGGATAGTAGGAGAAAAACAATGGAGGGGCTAACAATGTTCGACCAGAAATGTTGTCATTACCTCACTCATGTAACTGTAACCCTTTGGCACAGCATCTTTACAATAAACTAAAAATAAAAAAAACCCTCTAATTTGTGCGTGTGGTTATTCTAGGGTCCTAAGTTCCTCTCCCTTCCCCTCTCCTTCTCACGCTGGCCCGGTGCCAGCGCCTCACGAGGAGCCCAGTGGGGGTTTATTGTGAGCTTACAGTTCTGTGAGCAAGGTCCCAGCCAATGACGAGGGTCAGGTGGGTGCTGACGTCATCACTGGCAACCCAGTCCCGTCACCTTCCGGCCCGCCCCGCGGGGCGTCCTTAGCAACCCGCGCGCTCGCTCTTAGCCCCGCCCCGTGGGAAGCAAGGCAGTATCTGCGCTTGCGCGCGGCCGCAACCGCCAGTCAGCTTGCTTCCCCACCCTTCCCTGCCCCCTCCCCTCGCCTTCTCCTCCCCTTCCTCCTCCTCCTCCACCACAGCCGCCTTGAGCGTGACGCGAACATGGAGCCTGAAGACCTGCCGTGGCCGGGCGAGCTGGAGGAGGAGGAGGAAGAGGGGGAGAAGGAAGAGGAGGAGGAAGAAAAGGCGGTGGGAGACATCGTTGCAGTGGACGAAGACTATGTAGTGGAGGAAGACTATGTAGTGAAGGAAGGCTATGTAGTGGAGGAAGACCATGCGGAGGCGGAGGACGGAGCGGTGGTGGAGGACGAAGCGGTGGTAGCGGACATAGCGGCGGAGGTCGAGCCCGCGGAGGTCGAACAGGCGGAGGTCGAGCCGGCGGAGGTAGCGGAGCAGGAGGACTCAGTGAAGTCGGACGAGACCGTGCTGGTGGAGGAGGTGGAGGAAGAGGCCAGGCCGGAGTTGAACGTGGATTTCGACTTCGAGTTCCAGTCTCGTGAGAGTATCGACGACGAGGAGGAGGACGAGGAGGCCAAGGCCTGGCTGCAGGCGCCCCCCGAAGCGAGTTTCTCTCTGCCCCCGCCCCCGCGGCACAGCTACCTGACGGGCGAGCGGACCAGCAGGGAGAAGGTGAGCGGGGCCCGGACGAGGCGCGGGGTCGCGCGAGGGGGCCGCGCGAGGGCCCGTCCCGCGCGCAGGGGCGCCCGGCCCCGCACCCCGGCCCTGCCTGTCACCGTGCCTGACAGGCAGCCAGCTTCGCAAGGAGTTTAGGGGTGCTGCTTGCCTCTGGGGCCCGGATTCAGCCTGGTGACTGGCCTTCTTTTCTTCCCGGATCCCCCCATCTCGGGTTTCATTTCCCCCGCTCCCCCCTCGGTGGGCCCCCGGCCTTTTGAACCGAGGCAGCTGTTCGGAGGCGCCCCTCCCGATTCCCCAGAGCCAGTAGTTTATCGCTTGTGCAAGGAGGTGGGGCTTACGGTTTCCCGCGTTGTTCCCGAGCGAGTGGTTACCTGGGATACAGCTTGTTGGGGAGACGGGCCTGAATCCCCCAGAGTAATTAGTGAGAGGTGTCGAGAGGCTCTGCACCTTCGTTGGTAGTTATTGTGGTGGGGATCCCCAGACGCTGGGAGCGAGTTCGAATGCCAGAGTCTCCAAACACTCTGGGAAAACGAGAATCACAATGCTTTTGTGGACAAAGGAGAAAGAGCTGGGTTTAGGGGCGATCTGTGAAGATGACTTTGAAACTACCATAGATACACTGCTTTTCAAGTAGCACAACCTAGCTGGAGGAGTGGCTCAATTGATCGAGTTTGTTTAGCTTGCCGAGTTCATGCTGTTGCTTTTTTTTTTTTTTCTTCTGCAGGCTGGCTCTCTGCGACTTCAGCCACACTTCCACTTCTGGTTTTTTTTTTCTTTTTTTAGTGGTCCTCAGATCTTGATCCTCAGATCTTGACCTCCCATAGTCTAGGATTACAGGTTTGAGTCGCCAGTGCCCGGCTGGTCTTTAACGTTTTTGTTTTTGTAGGTTGTGGGGCCTGAACGCTGGGCCTGGGCACTGTCCCTCAGCTCTTCAGCTCAAGGCTAGCACTCTACCACTTGAGCCACAGCTTTTTCTGCTTATGTGGTGCTGAGGAATTGAACCCAGGGCCTTATGCTTTTAAGGCATTCACTCTACCACCGAGCAATCTTTCCAGCCCCGGTCTTTAACTTTTCTTTTTTTTGGGGGGGGGGTCCAGTCGTGAGGCCTGAACTCTGGACCTGGGTGCTGTCCCTCAGCTCTTTAGCTCAAGGCTAGCACTCTACCACTTGAGTCACAGCGCCACTTCTGGCTTTTTTCTTTTTGCTTATGTGGTGTTGAGGAATCGAACCCAGGGCCTCAGGCATGCAAGGCACTGAGCCACCTTCCCAGCCCCCTGGTCTTTAACTTTTAATGGAGTCATGAACAGTGTTTGGGAATCTGTGCATTAATTTCCTGTTCTTCCCTTATCCCCTTCACTTATATTCTGTAGCCTCCATTCAGTGTTCAACATCTTCCAGGTTAACATTTCACAGAAGAGCCTTGTACTTTGTCAGTCTTACACCATTCTTATGAAAAATACTGGAGCCGTGGGCTGGTGGCTCATGCCTGTAATCCTAGCTACTCAGGAGACTGAGATCTAGGATCATGGTTCACAGCCACCCGGGGCAGAAAAGTCCGTGAGACTCTGATCTCCAATAAACCACTAGAAAACCGGAAGTGGCGCTGTGGCTCAACTGGTGGAGCACTGGCCTTGCCCTGAAGAGTACAGGGACAGCGCCCAGGCCCAGAGTTCAAGCCCCACAACTGACCAAAAAAAAAAAAAAAAAAGATAAATACTGGAATGATTTTTAACCCCTAGAACCATTATATAGGAATTCTTTTGTGTTTGAAAATACTGAAACTTATACATCTGGATTCCTTTCAGGTTGTAATTTATGCACATAAACTTAGACCTGGGTTAGTTTTAGTAATTTGTAATTTTCCTAGAAACATCATGTTAGCAAGGATTTCTGTTTAATTATAATGCAGTGCCTCACAGTATTGTTCATTTCATATATCATTATTTTTTCATTCCCAGTATTGTGTAATTATGTTTATTTTGCTCTTGTTTTCACTAGGTAGGGGCTTATTTTCCATCAAAGGAGCAGCTGTTGGAGTTTTAAAATTTTCATTGTTTCAGTTTACTAATTTTTTTTCTTGAGAGGTCAAATCTGGAGTCTTTATTAGAAAGCCAGTGACTGAGGAGGATACATGGCCCCAAGAAACTTGTAGCTGGGCTAGGAATGCAGCTTAGTGGTAAAGTGTTTCCATAGCATTCATGAAGCCCTGGGTTTGTTTCCTCAGTACCACATAAACAGAAAAAGCTGGAAGTGGTGCTGTGGCTCAAGTGGTAGAGTGCTAGCCTTGAGCAAAAGAAGCTCGGGGACAGTGCCTAGGCCCTGAGTGCCTAGGCCAAAACTAAGACTTGCAGCATGAATACACTTAATACTGGTAGCAAATTCAGCCAGGAGGATAATAAATAACAGAAAAACAATCAAAACAAACTAATGGAGAGTTGGAGAGTTTTGCCATGGTGATCTGAGGAGAGTCGGGACTTGCAGCATGGCCAGGTGTGGTGACTCATGTCAGTAATCCTTGCTATTTGGGCTGAGATGGGGCGGGGAGGGAGGAATTGTGGTTCAAATTCAGCCTGGGTATAAAGTTCACAAGACCGGATCTCAACCAAAAATAAAGCTGGGTGTGTTGGTATCTGCCTGTTTTCCCAGTTATGAGGGAAGTGTAAATAGGATCCTAGTCCAGGGTAAACAGGGTAATATAAAGCAAAAAGAGCCACATTTCCAACTCTTTTTTTTTTTTTTTTGTCCATTGTGGGGCCAGAACTCTGGGCCTGAGCACTATCCCTCACCTCTTCAGCTCAAGGCGAGTGCTCTACTGCTTGAGCCACAGTACCACTTCCAGTTTCCTAGTGGTTTATTGGAGATAAGAGTCTCACAGACTTTCCTCCCCAGGCTGGCTTTGAACTGTGATCCTCAGATCTCAGCCTCCTGAGTAGCTAGGATTATAGGTGTGAGCCACTGATACCTGGCTTTCGGCCCAACTCATATAAAAATATTTTACAGATTTATTGGGTTATTCATATGTCATACAATTTAAAGTATGCAATTCAGTAGCTTTCATTATCTTCATAGATTGGTATTATTATAGTTGATTTTAGAACATTCTATACACCTTAAATGAAATTCCTGTATTCTTTAGTAATTAATACCTTTTTTATCCCAGTAAGCCACTGTTAACACTACTTTGTCTCTATAGATTTATATATTCTATGTATTTCATATGAGTGAAAAGATAGTAATAATGTAATATAGTAATATATGTAAGGGCTGGGAAGGTGGCTCAGTGATAGAGTGCTTGCCTTGCATGCATGAGGCCCTGGGTTCCCGATTCCTCTGCATCACATAAGCAGAAAAAGCCAGAAGTGGCGCTGTGGCTCAAGTGGTAAAGTGCTAGCCTTGAGCTTAAGAGCTGAGGGACAGCGCCCAGGCCCAGAGTTCAGGCCTCTGACCCAAAAAACAAACAAAAAAAACCCAGTATATATATATATATATAGTAATATATGTGAGTTTTTTTTTTGTGACTGGCTTCTTTAGTTTACCATGATGTTTTTATGATTCATTGTGTAGCATGTATCAGTGTATACCTTTATCTTTTTGGGCCTGTCTGGGGTTTGAACTCAGTACTTCATCCTTGCTGATTAGACACTGTACCCACTTGAGTTACACTTCAAACAGTTTTTTTTTGTTTCTGAGATAGGGTCACACTTTTTTTCTTGGAATGGCCTGAAACTGAGATTGTCCTTGAAAGGAAATTAACCTAAAAGACCTTGAGGACAAAGTCAGGTAGAGAGAGAGGTTTATTGCCAGCAGGGCTGACTAGACCAAGTTCTCAGGAGGGAGAACTTGGAGCCATCTGGCTCCTAGGAGGACCCTTTTTATACTGTTGGGGCTGGAGCTGGGAGGTGCCTCACCGGCCCTTCAGGGAGCTTAGGTCTGGGTGGGGGATGGGAGGTAGGGGGGGGGTTGCTGACTTACAATATGTACTATACCAGGCAGGGAGTATGGGCTGGAGGTTGTTTCTTAGCTACTTCCTGTTGAGAGGGGGTGAGGTAGTCATTTGGGGGTGGGGGCACAGGTACTGTGCAAGAAGTTGACCCAAAGTGGTTATGAAGATGTTACTTGTCCAGAGAGGGATCCTCTGGTTCCTCGACTGGAGGAAGACTGGATTTGTAGAGACTGGGGTCCTGTTAGCTTGGAAGTGTATGAAGGTTGATCAGGTAGGTGACATTTGACGTGGCGGATGAATCAAATGTGGACAGCCCTGAACCTGCACCACAGTGGGAGTAGAGTTACTAGATAGTGTCCTTTCCATTTACAGAAAGCTTGGTGGAACTAGGTGCTTGTGGCAGGTGATTCTTTGAAATGTATGCTAGGTCCCCAGCATTGATGGAGGGCCTGGAGGACAATGTGGAGGGCATAGGGCTATATTTATCCGTGTATTTCCAAAGAAGAGTACGCAGGTGCTGAAGGAGAGAAGACAGCATTTGGGGGTGCGGGTGAAGGTCTGAAGCCTGAAATAGAGGAGGCAAAGGTGGGTGGCCATACATAATTTCAAAAGGACTTAATATTAGAGGCTTTTTTTTTCCTTTCTTTTTTTTTTTGTTGGTCATGGGGCTTGAACTCTGGGCTTGGGAGTTGTCCCTCAGCTCTTCAGCTCAAGGTGAGTGCTCTACCGCTTGAGCTACAGCGCCACTTCTGGTTTTCTGGTGGTTTATTGGAGACAGTCTCAGGGTCTTTCCTGCCTGGGCTGGCTTTGAACCATGATCCTCAGATCTCAGCCTCTTGAGTAACTAGGATTACAGGCGTGAGCCACCAGCACCCAGCTTACCAGCAACTCTTGAAGGGAGAGAATATGGGAGGGAGGCATAGTCTGTAGCCCCTTATAGGTTTGTAACTCAGGTGATGGTGGGAGAAGATAGTTAGGGCTGCACCAAAGGTTAGCTTCTTTGCTTCCTGTATTAAAACAGAAGAGGAGGCTAGGACTCTGAGGCTAGGAA